GCAGGATCAGTAGATGGTGCAATTTGGTTATGGAATGGTGATAGTGGTAAGTTAATTACAACACTAAATAGTGGAATACCTACTACAATAGGAAGAGTTACTCCTGATGGTAAACATATTGTTGCAGGATATCAAGATGGAAGTATAAGAATATGGTCACCAAAAACACAAGAATCTATTAAGATGAGTATTTGTCAACCAACTGAGTCTGTTGAAATTACTTCAATAGAAATGATTCCAACATCTAAAATTGGGATAATTGGAGCAGCAGATGGTAATTGTTATTTATTCAATGAAGAATTAGGAAGAATTTGTGCTACATTAAAATCAGATAATGAAGATACTTCAGTTGAGTCTGTTGGAATGAATAAATTACATTCTAACTTTGCATTTAGTGGTAGTTTAGATGGTATAATTAGAATGTATGATATGGATAATGGACAAATTGTTCATGAATTTATACATTCTGAGGATCATTTTAGTGTAACCAAAATATCACCACTTCAAGGACAATATGTTTTAGCAACATTTGGTATGGATTCAAGAATTAAATTGTGGGATTTAAGAACTAAGAATTGTATTAAAGAAATGGGTGGGCACCAAGATGGCATTATTTGTGCTGAAGTTAATTGGGACAAAAAATTAATCGTTACAGGAAGTGAAGATAATACAATGGGATTATTCGCTTTATAAGAGATAAACAGATTAATAATTGAATTTTTGATTGAATAGCATCTAAACTAATTTTAGTTAATCAATTTTAATTTGTTTTAAATTAATCTATAAAAATATTTTGGTTTAAAAAACAGAAAAGTGATTGAATTACATATCATATTTTATTTTATTTTCATAACAATTGTAGTGACTTATCAATACAACAAGGATAATAACACAAATAGTCAATCCCCATTTAACTAAATACTCCACATCATAGCCTATTCCATCTTGTTGGAATGTTACTTCAATATGAACATATCCATCTCCAGTTGTTTTCATTTCAATTATAATAGACTCTGATGAAGAGACATGAAGTTGAAGGTATTTACCAAACTCACCACATACGTTTGTGTTATCTGTTTTACTTAAAAGTGTTGAAGATTTATTAGAATATACAATAAAATCATTTTCAACATTAGTAATTTTATCACAACTATTAATTAATAAAACTCCACTATCTAAAGGTAAATAAGTAAAATAAACACTTTTCTGATTGATATTATCATTAGGTAAAATATTATTTGTTCTTATAACTTGAAATGGTTGAATTGGAATAGCTTGGTCAATGCGACTATTAATAAGAGGGAGATTATCATATATGTTTAATCTAAATGTACCATCAAAATCTGTAGCATTAATTCCATGGCTAATTACTATAAAATAATCAGTATTCTTTGATAAAAAAGTAATCTTAGATTGTGTACCACAAGCATTATCATTAGAACCAATTAATTCTTCTTTACATGAATCAAATATTTTTATTGATGTGTCGAATTGACTTTCACTTGCACAAGTATCAACAGTGATATTTCTTCCTTCTATTCCATTAAACTTATACCAAACTTCATTCTTTCCAAAGTTTCTTTTATAATCAACAATACTTGTAGGAAATTCCATTTCTGTAGCGTTCTTACAAGAATCTCCACCAATAACCGTTTCATTTTTAATATAAACTCCAATAACACTTTCACTTTTATTGTACCCAACAAATACAGTTGCTTCTTTGTTAATAGTTAAAACAACTTCTCCAACTTGAATTTCATCAATATCAAAATAATTTTGAAATGTAATAATAGTTGCTGGTTTTCTTACTGAATCAGATGGTATAAAAGAAACTCCAATAATTCTAATAACTCCATTTTGTTTTATCTTATAAAATGTACCATATAATCCATTAAATTGAGTAAGTGGAATAGATGAATGTGTTTTACTAATTGATAGAGGTATTACAAATGAATTATCTGTTGGATGTTGGACGATTAAGAATGAATCATTTTTGTGGTACCAAGAAAAATTTTCATAACCTTCATCTTTATGTATAGTAATAACTGAATGATAACTGTCTTGATAATAAATGTTTGAATTTTTTGCAACAACAAGTATTGGAAATTCTTTGGTTTGAAAACATTTACTTCCTACAGTTTTTTCTTTTAAATAAAATGGAATTGAAGGAATTGTCTGACAATTAATTCCAATGACTTCAATACAAAAAAGAAATACCAACATCGAATAATTGTTAATTCATTTTTAAGTTTCTTTTTAACTTTTTGTTAATTTAATAAAAATTCTTTTTTCTTAATAAGTTACATATCTTTTTATATAAAAAAGTTATTATTAAATAGATAATCAACAATAATAATGAAACATTGATTAGTTATTTAGTTATTCCTGTTTTTCAGTGCATTATGAATTAGTTATATGGTTTATATAAGAATGGAGGTTAATATCCATTTTTAATGAACAATTGAATTTAATAAACCTTCTATTGTTTTTCATAAATTTAATATCTTTAATTAAAATTTATATAAATAAAACATATTTATGTTTATATTTTATTATTATTAAAGTGAAAGGATGGGATTAATCTCTCATAAGCTAGGAAGAATAGATGAAAATTCTATTACCATTTAATTAACTTATTTTTAATTATTTCTTATTTATTATATTTTAAATTTCTATTTATTTATTAATTGCTTTTTATTTATTCTAAAAATTATTTAACAACTTCATAGTCAATGTTATCTTTATTTCTTTCTTTTTTTTTATTCATTCTTCAATCATTCTTAATTAATTATTCATATAAATTAAATAGTCATAATATTTTTTATATGTTATTTTCATTTTACATTACATCATTATTATTTAATTCTATTAATGAATGAAATGATATTATCATTATATAATAAAGTTATTTAATAAATAAACATAAATACTATTTCAATCATTTTATCATTTATTAAACTTCATTTCTTCAGAATTATTTATTCATTTTCTTTTTTTTTGATTCATTATCTTTCTATTTTCATACATTTAATTTCAATATTTATTGTTTCAAAACAATCTAATTTAATTTTAATAATAAAATAGAAATAAAAATGAAATATTCATTTATACAACTTATTAGTAATAAGAAAATAAAAGATAAATAGTATAATAAATATAACTTAGTTTATAATATCACTTTTATCAAAAATACAAGTTATAGATTATTGGATTAAAAGCAATACTATTTATTTGTTTTGCATTTCTTGATAATTCAATAAATAAGAGTTTTAAAAGAAAAAAAAAAGAATGATGAAATAAAAAAATATTAATCAAATCAATTTTAAGATATTTTTATAATCAATAAGTAAATAATGATTTTAATTTGATAAATTCAAATTATTTAATAATCCCTTCTTTTAGGGAAAGTTTGTGCTAACTTCACATCTATTTTCATTTTAATAACTTCTTTTAATCCTTGAGAAACTAATTGCCTTTCTTTTGAAGAAGAAGGAAGAAACTCCATAGCCTTTTCTAAAGAGTCTTCAATAAATGCCAATTGCATATACATTGAGTCTGTGTCAAGAGTATTAGATGTGTTAAAAGTTAATTCCTTTTGAATTTGTTGTAAAGAAGGAGATTTAGTTTTTCTTTTATCTTTTTTGAAGGTTTGAATAGGAAAAAGAACTTCAAAAATAGGACGATCTTTTTCTTTTTCAGTAATAATAGCACAATGAGTAATAAAATAAATAGAGAAATCATTGGGGTAATTAAAAAAGATATTAAAAACATTTACTCCATCCCCACTGCAAATTTTACTTCTTGGTAATAACATTAATACAACACAAAGATAATTTAAAAGAGACAATGGATTATTATGAGCAAATAAAATATCCCAAATATAATATAATTCATTGGTATTAAACATTTGACAAAAAAGAATTCTAACCCATCTTAATAAGAATAATTGTGGTTCAACTCCAAGAGCAGAAAACATTTGATAAATATGAGGATCTTTAACTCTCAATATTTCTGCTATTTGTTCACAACGAAATAATATTGTATTAGAATGATTTTCAGTACTTTCATACCATATATTTACAATATCCATTAAATGTTCAAAAAGACAATAAACATCATGTTCAAGATATTGAGGAGAGAATAATTGTCTTAAAAGAGTATCTGTTTGTACATTTTTTTGTTGTTCAAGTAATTTTGATATTTTTGAATAATCTATAATAGTTATATTAAAAATTACAGCAATTAATTCATTCATACCTTGAGTATAATTAAGTTCAGGATGTTTAATAGCAAAAAGAAATAAAATACGATGTAACATTTGTCTATTTTCACATGTTTGAAATTTTTTTTCTAATTTAGTTCTTCTAATATCTTTTTTAATATCCCATGACACTTTTACTTTTTCTGTATCAATACCAACACTTTCATTTGGATCTGGTGCAATAAGGTTTGCTTCATTTGAATATGAATCTAATGGATTAGAATTACTTAAATAAATAAGTTCATTTGAATAATTAATACAAAGATCTTCATATTTTTTTCTTTCTTCATTTATAACAGATGTCCATAATGAACTATTCTCTGGTAAACATTTTAAAAATAATCTCCATCGAAGACTTAATAATAAATTTTTTATTTCACATAAATGAATATCTCCCCATAAAGTTCTTTCTCTTTCTTCTTTAAAATTATATTTTAATGTTTCTAATTGTTGTATAACTTTTTCATATGTTAATTGGTTTGTTGGTGGCTTAACAATATCACATATTTTTGCTGTTTGATCAAGAAACATTGAATGTATTATTTCAAATGACATAAAAGCAACTGGTATTTGATGTGGTTTATTGTATGAAGGCATATGTTGACAATAGAAGTTTGGAAGTACTGTTCTCAAATCAAACATCCTAACTCAAATTATTTAAAGTTCTTTTTTAGTTCTATTCCTTTTGAAGAAGAATATTTTATAAAAAACACATTATTAAATAAACAACTCTCAAAAAATGTTTTTATTTTAAATCATCAAAAAAAAAAGAAAATTTTGAAGTATTTAAACAGAACTTAAAATTAAAGATCTGGAGTAAAAAATTCAGATAATACGTCACTATGAGAATAGAATTCTTTTACAAATGAATATAATACAGTAAATAAAGATGGAAATTTAAAATGGAAATATTTATAAAACCCATCAGGGAAAGTACCATATAAATCTTTTTCTTCTTGAGGAAGAGTATAATAATGATGAGACTCATTTCTAATTACACGAAGAAGATCAATTGTATGATTAAAATCATAAATACGATATTTATTTATTGATTGTAAAATAATTGGAGAAAGTTCTTTATCCCATTGAATAGCAACACCAGCACTATCAAGTCTTTTAGAAATAGTATAATTTTTATCAGCAATAATAATATCAGAAACTTTTTGAATAAATTCTAATCGTTTTTTACAACTCCAAAATAATGGATGACTTAGTACTTCTTCAATAGTAATTCTTTCATTTGGATTTTTTTTATTCATTCCATTAAAACATGCAATAAATTCACTTTGATATAAATTGTCAAAACTACATTCCGTTTTAATACAAATTCCTTTTAAAATATTATTTTGTCTTTCAAGAGAATTTCCATATGGATGTTTTCTTGTTGCAATATAATAAAATAAACATCCTAATGTAAATATATCAACTGCTT